AAGGATACTATCATGATCATATACCTATCTAAATAGTTAATGGGGGAAAAATCTAGACTCCTTTTCCACATCGCTTATTTAAAATATACCCAAGAGGCCTTGGATATATTTAGCTTTGTTTTGTCAACTCCTATAATCATCATGCACGATAGAGAAAATTCAGTTGGCTTCTAGCGAAATAATGCACGGCACTATAACAGCGAATGTCTTCAGTACCATGAGTTAAGGATTTTACGATGTGATAGTTTTTAAAGTATTTCTAGGTACCCTACTACATCTTGGCTGCTCCTGGATCTTCAGATTAAGGTCATCATCCCCTCTCCCCTCTAGGGGAAAAAAAAAACTCACGATGAAGGCACAAAGTCAGAGCAATGATGTGTACACTCTCTGCAATTCGTTAAAGAAATACACTTTCTATTCCTAGAAATTCAGTGTGGTTGGTGTTACTCGAGACCATTGCTGGCCTGTCTGTACAGGTGCTGTGAAATAGAGAGTCAACATCCCTTGCTTATGCATCTTCTACGTTTAAAATGTTGGAAAGCTAAGTTATGAAAAAAAGATGAGTGTGCTTCCAAGCATCGTGTTACTGATATATTTCTCTGAATTCACATTTAGGCAAATGTTGGTAGAAAAAATCTGGGGCTGGCCCGGTGGCTTAGCGGTTAAGTGCGCACGCTCCGCTACTGTTGGCCGGGATTTGGATCCCTGGCGCGCACCGACGCACTGCTTCTCCGGCCATGGTGAGGCTGCGTCCCACATACAGCAACTAGAAGGGTGTGCAACTATGACATACAACTATCTACTGGGGATTTGGGGAAAAAAAAAGGAGGAGGATTGGCAATGGATGTTAGCTCAGAGCTGGTATTCCTCACAAAAAAAAAAAAAAAGAAAGAAAAAATCTGAAGACACTAGTACTTTGTGGGATAAATTACACAGATTTAAATAGAGTGCTTTCTTTATAGGACGTATGTTTTTTATCCTGATGGAACCTGTAAATATGACATCTGGGGTACTCCATTACAGCTGTGGAATAATCAGCACCATTCAGGATATCCAATATGTGCTAAAAGAGAAATTCTAAGTAGAAAACCACCACAAAAAGCATTATATTCCTTCATTCAACAAAATGTGAGTACCTACTATATGTCAACACTGTCCTAGGGCCGGCCCCGTGGCTTAGCGGTTAAGGGCACGTGCTCCACTGCTGGGGTCCCGGGTTCGGATCCTGGGCGCGCACCAATGCACTGCTTCTCCGGCCATGCTGAGGCCACGTCCCACATACAGCAATTAGAAGGATGTACAGCTATGACATACAACTATCTACTGGGGCTTTGGGGGAAAAAATAAATAAAATTATAAAAAAAAAAACACTGTCCTAGACACTAGGGACACAGCAACGAAGAGAAGAGACAAAACCCCCATCCTCAAGGAGCTTATATTCTAGTAGGGAAAGACAGACTACTAACATACATTAAAATACACGGCAACTTAGAAGGTGACAAATGGCTGGAGGAAAATAAAGCAGAGAAGAGGGGCAGGGCATGGTGGAAGGGGGTAGCCAGGGAATGTCTGCTGAGAAGGTGGTGTCTGGGGAAAGACCTGAGGGGTTGAGGGGCTCAGCCAGAGAGATATCTAGAGGAAAAGCGGTCCAGAGAGTGGGAACAGGCTCTGAGGCAGGACTGCGCCTGGCAATCTGAAGCAATAATGAGGAAGCCAATGTGTTTAAATGCCTTAAACTGCTTCCAGATTAAGGGGTTACAATTACAGGCAAAATGTCATTAACAGCCATATTTTCATAAACACTTAGTGTAGGAATGTGCCTTTGTAAATGCTTAATAAAACCCCTTAATCTTACCAGGCTTGAAGAAATGAGGAAGAGAGGGTGGAGGGAGTAATCCAAGGTCACATCACCAGTGACAGCCAGGGAAAGGCTTCAGCACAAGTCTCCCAAACTCAGCACCACAGTTTCACCTCATGCTCCAACTTTATAATTAAGAGGCACTTGTATTAAAAAAAAAAAAAAAAAAAAGATCCCAGGCGCAGACCCACACCACTTGTCAGCCATGCTGTGGCGGCAACCCACATATAAAATAGAGGCAGACTGGCACAGATGCTAGCTCAGGGCTAATGTTCCTCAAGCAAAAAAAGATGAGCATTGGCAATAGATGTTAGCTCAGGGCCAATCTTCCTCAAGCAAAAGAGAGAAGATTGGCAAGAGATGTTAGCTCTGGGCCAACCTCCCTCACCAAAAAAAAAAAAATTGAAAAAACAAAAAAAGAATACATCATAGCCAACTAACAATCTTCTTAGAGCTAAAAATTGATCAGTTTCACTTTTTCATTCAACAAATAACCAAGAGAGACCCTACATACACCCTAAATATTTGTTTTGGAATGAAAGAGATAATAAATGCAGCATTACCTAGATCCTACTACCCAGCAATTAATTGTATAGGTGTGTTAACAGAGAAACTTGTACACAAGGAAACATTTCAGATGTTTATTGTAGCACTATTTGTTATAGTAAAAAAGTAGAAACAGATCAACCGTCCTCAGCAAAAAAAGTGTCTGTAACAGTGAAATGGAAACACTCTAATTTTCTCTTGGCAAGGGAATAAGTATAATTTATTCATACACCGAAATTCTCTGTAGCAGCTAAAGTAAGATCTACATGTACCTCAAAAACATAGTGACAAATTTAAAAATCCAAGTCGTATGTATATAGAATTATGCCATTTACGTAAAAGGTTAAACACACAAGCTTACAGATATTGTCTGTAGACACATAATATACAGAAGTACCAAAACATGTTTGGAAACTTTGCCGACTAACTTCACATTAGTGGTTCCCTGAGGATGGAGGCAGAGGAGGAGGGATGGATAAAATATTTCCATAGCAGTTTATTTTTATCAAGAGGGTAAGCAAATATGAAAAGATTAGCAACTCTTAAACATAGGTAGTGGAAAAATGGGAGACTTACTATATTCTCTTTTTATGTATGTTTGAAATATTTCACATTTTTACTTTAAAAGAAACAAAGGGAGACAGACAAAACTCCTCCACCCCATTCTAATAACTCCAAAGCACAGTTGCCCTTAACCTCCAAACCTCAGCATCTTCACCTTTGAAACGGGGGTGATACTAGGTGTACCTGCCTCAAAGACGCTTCAGGAAGTGGCAGTCTGGAGAAATTCATTGTCAGCTACACTACCAGTGGGCAGGGACATTATATCATTCCCCCATTGAATCTCCAGGGCCCAGCAGCCATTCTTTTTATTCAATTTCACTGATAATAGTACTGAGATTTTTCAATAGGGTTATATCGACCACCACCCCAAAAAAGCCATAAAACAAATCGAAGGAGTATAAATGATACAATAAATTAATTAAGCATCTCAATGAATGGAGATGAAAGACCCCCAACAGCCCAACATGGGACTACCTCTCCCAATTCATGTTAGGCAAGCACTGGTTAAAAATTATAAGAACTGCATAAATTTCCTCCCATAAAATCTGTCTTACAAGCCCAAGAGGAAAAAAAAAAAATGAGACTGGTTAGGCACCATTAAGAAAAGATGATCAGATTACATCTATCAGTAGTAAAACTCCCAGCCACACCTGGGAACAGGGCCCTGCAAGCTGGGGACAGAGCAATCAAAATCCAACCTCCCTATGATGCAGTCTCTCTTCTCCAACTTTGTTCGAACCTCAAGGAGGTGCGACTCTCGTCTCTAGAAAACCAGTTCCTCCCTCTGCCGGGCCCTTTCAGTCTTGAGATCACATTCCCCAGAGAACTGGCTGTTTCCCCATCCCAGAGCCCTTGCTATCGTCCTCTCCCGTCAGGAAAACGGAGACCCATCCAAATCACCTGTGAGCCTGCGGCCAAAGGAAGCCGCCTCTGGTCCAGGCGAGCAGCGTTGAGTCAGCAGATTTGCCCCAATGTTTGCAAATAAAAGTTGCGCCGGGCTGGGCTCCTTGGAGAAGAGGCTGAGGCTTAGATATATTGCCCAGGCCCAGGCCCTAGGAAGTCACCTGGAACTCCTCCACTTTACACTAGGCTCCATCTGCCCGGTCTGCTGCCTCTCCAGGCTCTGAGGCCCCCTTCACAAAAGAGGGGCGCGAAGTCCAAACGAGAGCGTGAGCCAAGGGTTAGCAGATGAACCCCGCAAACTGCAGAAACTAAACCGCAGACACAAACCTGCCTAAGCCCGCAGCGGAGGAAACGCGGATTAGGGAGGGTACCCACCCTCCCGGGCAGAGGTTGGGGTAAATGGCGGGCGGGAGGGCGCCTCTCCTGCGGCTCCACATCCTCCCTCCTCCCTCAGTCGCGTCTGCCCCAACTCCAGCATCCCTCCTCCCGGCCCTCCTCGGAGCTACGGCGGAGAAGAGGACAAGAAGGGCGGGGAGGCGCCTTGGGCAAGGCGAAGGGCTCCTGGAGTCAGAAAAGGAACAATAGCCGACCCTCGGTTGCCCGAGCCTTCCAGAGTCTCCCGCTCGCGCCTTCCTCCCCAGCTCCCCTAAGTTCAGCGCGGAGGCGGGTCGAGCCCAGATGCGGGGACCTGGGGGAGCGGGGCGCCGGGAGGGCCAAGCAGGTGGAACAGGGTGCTGACTCGGCACACCCAGAACGCCCTGCCGGGGTCTGGTCATTCATTCCCACCTGCGCTCCCTCCGCAGCAACCCCGCGCCATGCCCCAGCCGGCCTGCGAGTCGCGGGGGACCGAGAGGAAGCCCCTCTCCTAACTTGGCCAGGTCCTCCCTCTCTAGTCTGATCCCCACCATCCTCCTCTTCCTCTGTCCCCAAATCTGCCCTCTGCAGACAGTTGGCGGACAAGGGAGCGGTGGCGGGACGCTCGCTGCCACCCCTGCTAAGCTGCTCCGCCGGGCGCGCGGTCCCCGGCTCCTTGCTGCCTCCCTCGCCCGAGCCCCAGACACAAAGGCGGGGACGGGAGCCGGGGACCCCGCTCCGGGGAGCCTCCCAACTCTCGGCGCCGCGCACTCACCCCATCGAGGCGGCGGCGGCGGCTGCCCGGGCCCCGCTGGCTGCGCCACCCCGCCCGCCGCTTCCCCAGGAAAACGCGGCCGCCGGGCTCGCTTCCTGCTCGGCTTCCTGCGCCTCGGTCCCTCCTCCTCCCCCGCTGCGGGGGTCAGTGGGCGCCGCGGCTCCCGGGCAGGGCCGGCGGGGCGGGGGCAGCGGCAGCACCACCACGTGGCCGCCCGACGCCGGCCCCCGCCGACCCGGATCCCGCGGGAGCGGGAAGGGAGGTGCTAACCATTCCCCTCCCCTCCACCCCGCGCGGGCCCAAATTCCGCGAGTCAGGTGACCCGGCCCCGCGCTCCGGCCGGGACCTGCGGGAGGTGCTCTCGGCCCGTGAGGCACCCATCCCCTGGGCCCGCGCGCCCTGGGCGTCCGTGGCTTGCTTTTAGTTTTCCACGGATCGTGGGACCCTTCCCCACGGATCTGTTTCATCACCATCACCTGAAGTTCGTGGAAACCACCGGTACTCTGACCCCCGGGGTTAGGTCGCGTGAGATCCCGAATAGCATTCCTTTCTGGTCAACTTCCAAAGTGGTTTGTGGTCGTGGGGGTGTTTTAAAAGTCACTGATCCTAAGCGCTTTCTAACCAGAATCAAATCGGTTATATTTTCCAGAATTATTGAACAGAAAGTAAACGAGAATGTGCTCGTAGACTCTGGACTGAACCAACTGGTTGGAGTGACTGTTGCCTGACACTCATCAGGTGGCAGGAGAAAATCAGCAGCGTTAAGTGTCTAACTCTGCTCAGGAGTCAGGAGAAATCTACAGCCTGAACTGGCGGACAGGAATGGGGAACGCCCTCAAAGCAGTGTCTGGGCTGCAAAGGGGGACGGCCTCGCTCCCCAGGACCCCACGGCTTCCCTCCCTTCCCCAGACCGCTAAGACCTGCGTTTGAATCATAATGGACTCCTCCTTTAATTCCGAGGATTTCAAAGCTCTCCACCTACTCATTTAATTTGGGACGGGTTTTCCATTCATTCTAGTCGTGCTAACCAGCTATGGCTTAGAAAGTCTTTTATTCACCAAAGCTCCTCCGTTCTCCGTTCTCCGGGTTAGTTCTGCATTCTTTGTGCAGGGCAGAAAGCTTCCTAGAATAAATTAGCAGTATTGAGTCCCTAGAATAAATTAGCAGTATGAGTCCCCAAAAGGGACTTAGAGAGCGATCCACTCTAAATCAATTGAGCTTAAAAAAAAAAAAAAAGCCAATTCCAACCAGTGAAATTTGCCCTAATAGAGTTCAATTTATGTCTTAGCCAGATCTTTTTTTTTTTTTCTGAGGAAGAGTAGCCCTGAGCTAACATCTGTTGCCAATCTTCCTCCTTTTTTGCTTGAGGAAGATTAGCCCTGGCTAACATCTGTGCCAGTCTTCCTCCACTTTATATGTGGGTCAAGGCCACAGTGTGACTTGATGAGTGGTGTAGGTCCGCATCCGGGATCCAAACCATGAACTGAGGCCTCTGAAGCAGAAGACGCTGAGCTTAACCAGTACCCCTCCAGGCGGGCCTCATAATGTCTTGGCCAGATCTTTACGTCTACGAGTCAGACTTGATCTGTATCCCTACCCTCTCTACCCCCAAGCCAAGGGTACAGTCTTGTCTGAGCTTTAACAGATGCCATCAAACAGGGAGCAAAAGCTAGGAACCCAGCTGCGTGTACCTTTACCTGCTAAGTCTTACATCAGACATTCCTTAGAGAAGTGGTGAATAGCCAGTGTAAAGCAAGATGTGTGCACTCCTCTTCCTGTCCGTTATCCCCCTCAAATAAAATCACGCTCCAGAAGAAAGGCGAACTGGCAAACTTCTTTTTGGTTGAATGCTGGCAATTTCTACAATACAGTTTTTCATTGTGGTTCCTATTAATGGTGTACCGTAGGTTATTTAGGGGGGACGATACTGCCACTTATGAGGTTTTCTGTTCTGCTTTTCGCAGGTCAACCTCCTTCAAGCAGGGGCGACTGGGAAGGTGAGGTTTTGCCTTGGAAAGTTAACATGTGCAGATTCGGTTGCTGAAGGAGTTAAAATATCACATTAAACAGTCATTGTGTAAGGCAGGCTCATCAGCCTTTTATTCACAGAAGCCCTGTCTCTCTCTTCTTTTTTTTCTCTTTTACTCTGCAAGGCCCGGTCCCAGCCACCCGCCAATGAGCCTACCTGCCTATGTCAGCCCTGCGGCTCCTGTAGGTGGCTTGTATGCTTTTTCTCCTTAGTTTATAATCTCACCTTCTAACATCAGCAAGTCCAACTCCTGGTGAAGGACTGTAGTGGAGGGAAGAACTCTTATAGTTAGTCCCATGTGCCAAGATCCTTTTCCAGATCCCTCCTCCCCTGAAACTCAAACCACTCGCTTTAGACCATAGCTGAAGTTCTGCCACCTGCGGGAGGGTTGGTGGTCAAGTATGGGATTGAACAGCGTCTTCTCATCGGTTTTTGTGGTTTTTTTGCCCAGGCCTTTTAGAAATGCTAGTTGGATTCATGATACATTGAACACCACCCTTCAGAGGAGATCAGGCCCAGGTGAAAGTGTTTGAGAGAAGGAAGCAAGGATACAATGACCGTCTAGCCTGCGTAAAGTTGGTAAAACCTTTTTGGGAGGAACAGCACGTTGTATTTCAATAGGGGAATTACCCCAAAATCAAGGTAACTGTTGTGTGATATGTAGTACTAGGAGTAGTAAAAGCAAGGGGACCAGGTTTCCGGACCCCATCGGAACTTCACCAAGTGTTTGAACCTCTCCTGGTCCCACTTTCCTAATCAGTAAAAGACAAGATGGCCTCTGAGAACTTTGTCAGCTCTGACATCCTAAGCCCATTCTCTTAGTGTGAGAGAATCAGTTTGAAGAGACTTGACAAGCAATTTTGTCCTTACATTTTATGGCAAAGCATCAGTCTCTAATTGTTCTAGCAGGTGAGTCTTGTCATACTATCAAGATTGTAAACTCCTAAGAGTGTTGCCATCCAGGACTTAACGGGATCCATAAATGGAATTTATTGATTGGTAGGGCTCAATTTTCATTTTTGAAATTAAATAATATCACATCCCTTCATTCTTGCCCCATCTCTCACCAATATCAGTTCTCCCCACATTAGGAACTTCTTAAGTCTGGAGAACCAAAGCTAAGACTTGTTGGGGTAAGAAGAAACTGTCGCTGAAGGAGGAAATAGAGATCAGTATCGGGGAGCCAAAAAGTAACCCTCCACTTTGTTTGGTGTTTGGTCAGGATCTGGCTGCACTTCTGGGTCTGGTTAGAGGCAGCGTGATTTAGAGGAATGTGGCGATATTGGACCCAGTCCAGAGAATGGGACAAAAACAATCAGAAGGTTAGAGGGAGATAATCTATGGAAAAAAGCCCAAATATTCATAGAAAAACCACTTTCTGTATTTTCTTGGGGATGTTTCCAAATAGGAAGAGACTGTGACATGGGAGAAATTAATAAAATAACTTTAGGATTGTTTTTCTCAATTGAGTAAGACCACAGTAATAAAGTAGCCTGTAAACATTGATTGGCGCATGGTTGTTGAACTTGCCAGGAAGCCAGCAGAGATTTCTCCTAGGGTGGGTTACTACACGTTCCTTCTCAGTGACCTTGGGCCCCTGCTCTGGAGGTGAGGCTAAGATGCTTGGTAATAATACATTCCAAAGCCCTGCATCAGATCCCTGCTTGTAGGGGTGTGGCAGAGAAGCTAAGTGTCTCAGCCTTGACGTTACAGACCTGAGAAAGTCTGAAGACTGGCCCATGATCTCATATGAGGAATGTGAAGTCTGCAGAACTGTGCTGTCCACTGTGGTAGCCACTAGCCATGCCTGAGCACTTGAAATGTCACTAGTCCAAATTGAGATGTGCTATAAATGTGAAATATACACCAGATTTCAAAGACTTAGGTTGGAAAAAAAAAACAATGAAAAGTATCTCACTAATAATTTTTATATTGATTACATATCAAAATGTTAATATTTTAGATATATTAGGTTAAATGTATATATTAACTATAATTTCACTTATTTTTACTTTTTAAAATGTGGTTAACTAGAATTAACTATAATTTCACTTATTTTTACTTTTTAAAATGTGGTTAACTAGAAAATTATGACTATGGGGCTTGCATTATGTTTCTATTGCATAGCACTGCTATAGGGGTTAATATAAGCAACTAACACATATTTTGCATCTTCTCTATACCGGGCATTTTTCTAAGTGATATATACATTAACTACAGTGGCCATATACTTAATTATCCAATCTGGGACAACTTTCACACTTTTGAGAGTGAAATGGGGCAGGCAAATTCTAAACCAGACAGGATACTAGGACAAAAGGTGTAAACTGGAACTGTCCTGAGCAAACTGATATTCAGGCCACCCTAATGTTAGGTCATTTAATCCTTACATCAACCCTGTAAGTACCATTATTATCTCCTTTGGGATCATGAGCGAACTGGAGCCCAGAGAGATTAAGTAACCTGCCTAAAGTCACACAGCTAGGAAGTGGCAATGTTGAGATTCAAACTAGGGCAGTGTGGCTCTAGAGCCTTCGCTCTTAACTGCTGTGCAACACCGTCTGCTTAAAAGCTCATATGGATTGAGAATTTAATAGATGCAAGGTTTTTCTTAATCTTCACAGCAACTTGGATGGAGTATTATCCTGTTTTTACAGATGCGGAAACTGAGTTTCAAATAGATCCACCAACTTGCCCAAATCACAGAGCCAGAAAGAGTGGAGCCAAGAATCAAGGCTTAGGATGCCCGACTCCAGAGTGGTCCTGTTAACTTCCCTATTGCCTCAGGCCACTCTCGTTTTGATCTCATTACTTCTCCCGGTACTGGCAGAGGCCTGGATGACAGAGGACTAGAACCCAGGTGGCATCAACCTTGCAACAGGCAACCAACACCAACAGCTCAGTCTTGGGAGCCTCTCCTTTGTCAGAAGGAGCATTTTAAGATAATCCAAATCGCCATCCATGCACGCTGCCAAGTAGGTTGTTCTGCTGTGCATGTCAGAAATTCCAGAAAATATTCTCCCATTGAGGCAGTGGAGGAGAGCATCAAGAAGCAGTTGTCTGGTTATCAGAAGGAGCTTTCACAGAGCTCCAGAGTCAGAAGCAATAACATGGCATGGAAATCTATGAATGTGCCAGGGGAAGCTTTTCTCGCTTCCTCTACAGTGGGTTGCGATGTTGGCAGCCCATTAGAATCACCTGCCTTTGAA